CCCCTCCCCCCCATCACCCCCTTCATAAAAAAAAATAAAGTCCATACGGGCCTCTCAGCCATCCTTGTACCCCTCTGCCTAGACAGGAAAGGTTGTTTGATAAACTCAGTACGCACTGAATTCGTTTCGTTTTGTTTTTAAAGTGATTTGGGGTAAAGACAGGGCTAGAACTGGGTTTAAGGACACTGTGCCTTAGTGTCTGGGAACACCCTGGAGAAAGAAGCGAGCTGGGTACATTTAACTACAAGATAACAGAAATTTTTGCAGCTTCAATAAAACTCTCAACAGCTACAGAACATTTTTTTCTGTGTTAATTTAATCATACAAATATTCATTTATACATTAAGGAAAAAGCTTCCTTTATTTTTACCCCCAATGTGCTATCATAGGACTTCTCCCAGACTCAATGAGGCAACACACCATCCTGTTCTACACATGCACTCCCCCCGGAGAGAATAGACAGGCTGCAGAACCACCCACGCACTCACACACGAAAAAAAATTAAACACACAACAGAAACCCAGACGTGGGACAGCGTGCATTTCCTAACCCTGCAGACTCCAGCTGCTCTCATGCCCACGTGCTCTCGAACTGCACGGCTTTGCCCCTCGCTGGGGGAGCCGCATCTTCCAAACCTTGGAGGGGTCCGAATCCAACGCTCACATCCCGAGATGTGAGCGCGGTGGATTCCAGCTCCTCCGTTCCCTCAAGTGGCATTGCCAGTTTTGGGCTCGTCCTAGGGATATCGTGCTCCAGGGTGCCTAGGCTGCTGTTGCTCAAGTCGTGTTAGCGATATGGCTCCACATCCTAAGTGGCTCACGCTTGACAGAGGGATCCATTTTAGAGACCATCTGAGATGTTCTGCAATATCTTTTTTTTCTTTTGAAGGGGTGGTAGGGTAAGGAAGATCCATCTTTCCCTCCTTCTCAGGACTTCAAGACAGATGGGTGTTAATCAGAGACCGGAGCCAGTTGCAGCCTCTTGGCCACTGCATCCTCCCATACCAGTGGGTACCAGCCCCATCCGTCCCCCCCAGTCAGGAACACCAGCCTCACTGGGTTAACAGCCTCTTTACTGGTTCCCCAGGCTCAACCCAGTAAGGATTTCCTCCCATTTCCAACAGGCCTGAGTTCTAGGTGTGTAACTCATGTGGTTCAGGTTATCCGAGCCACCACGCACACTTCAGGCTCACCAAAATATTTGGCATTCAGCGCTTTTGAAAAATCAGGCCATTTGTTTCATGTATCTGATGTTAAGACTCTGCAAGTTCAAATGCATCAGCCCTATGGAAACCAGTACAATCACAGTGCCCTGAAGTCACCTGGAAAGAGCTTTCCCAAATACATCTCAAATCCCCCTATTTAAAAGCTGGAAACCTGACAGCAAGAGCAATTTGAGGGCTGGCTGTACCACTAAGCTCCAAGGAACCAGAGGAGAGAAAACCACCTTTGGCCTCAGCGAAACAGTTTTTACTCGAGGAAAAACCCAGAGGTAGAGCAACCACTAATTTAAACATTCTTCCAGCGTCACAGCCAGGGTTACAACCTCAACCCTCAAAGCATCCAGAGCTCTGTCCGATCATTTGCAGGGATCATCCCCGCAGACAAGAGTGCTCACACTCAGCTACATGGGGAAGAAAGAGCAGCAAGAGGATGCAGATTTCAGCAGCAATTCAGATCTGGCCCTGCCCTTCTTCATACCCTGGAGCAAGTGACTTTTGTCACAAGGACACCATGGACTGAAAACACTCAAGAGGAGAGAGAATTCAAGTCTGTGCAGAACAAGTATGCCTTCTGAGCGGGAAAGCACACGACTACTTGGGGTGCATGCAAGTTGGTTTTTTTTTTTTCTTTTCAAGAAAAGGAAAATTCAGTCTTAGGAGGAGCACAGGAACACAAATGTGGAGCCATTACATATGGGAGGAGAATAGGTGGCTGGGAGCAGAAGAAAGCCAGTGTGGGGGTATCCAAGTTCAAGGGTCTCCCAGATGCCTCAGCTGACACAAGGCAAAGGTTGCAGCACCAGCCATAACATACAGACTCCGATGTTTTCCCCCCTTTCACTACACAGCTGATAAAAGGAGCTAATAAAGAATCACCTTGTCACTTGAACAAAGAGTCTCCAGTGTTTTAGACACCTTCAGAAGGGAAGCTGTGATATTGCAGGAGGTGTGATGGTCAGGTACGTGTTCATGCCTTCAGAGCTTGTCGCACAAGCCATCTGCTTGGAAAGGAGGGAGCGAAGAAAGAATCCACTCACCCACACTACACTACAGTAATGCAAATCATTCCCTAGGCTGAATGCTAAGAGGAGATAACTAACCCAAGGCAAAATGATGTTACAGGACAAGAACCAAACACGGCAGCTGCACTGAGCAGCACCATCTTCCACGGGTTCACTCTGGATCTTAACACTCACCCAGCTCCAGCAAGCTGCCAAGACAGACCCAGGTGCTCACCAAACTGCAAGTGCAAATGGCTAGCAGTCCCACTCCTGCAGTGCCTCTTTTACACAGATAATTTCTTACATTATACTTGTTTCTCCCAGCAAACAGATTTTTGAAGGGAGATTTCAGGTAACTGATCTTCAACAACTGAACCCCTGAAATACAAACAAAATCTATTGCCCAATTCTTCCTCTGTTGGATACAAGGAAGTCCCACTGTCCTCCTCAAGATCCATCTGTATGCCCGAAGATAAGAGAGTCCTTGGCAGCTGCAATGAATCCTCCATTCAAAACCAACCAAGGAAACACAACCAGTCAAGAGCAATCAGTGTAAAGCCACGAACCATGCAGCAAGCATGCACTCTGTTCCAACAAAGAGAACAAGGGTCTTCCCTGGAAAGATCTGGCAGAAGGTAGTGGGAGCTTTGCATATTACTGTATCTTTGGCAGACGGCTGTTCCAACCTAGTTATGTTTCCAAATAAGACAGTGTCCCCTGACCTCGCTCCCCTTCAGCGAGATCTGTGGTGACACAGCACTTTAGAAATCCACCACAGCACTCTAGGCCATTCTCCCTTCCCTTACACTGGACTTCCCAATCCATAACTAGAGGAAAATACATTGAAGGAACAGCGCAGCAACCCGAATCTACAAAGGAGCGATTCCTCCTCTAATACCAAGCCCTGGAGAGCCCATGTAGAAGGTAAGAGCCTCAACAAAGCTACAAGCCAGGACGATAAAGGTGAATGAATACAAGGCAACAAAGTGGAATCCAGCTGATGATGCTAATTCTTGCTCTGCATTAAAAAACGCAATTAGACTCTAAGCTAATACTTTATCACAGAAGAAATGAATGCAAACTCAGAGTGTAAGAGAGAGATGGGAGATTCAAAATTAAAAGGACATGGCTTTCGTAAAGCTTTGCAACTACTACCAAGTGAATTACAGCTACAGAAAAGAGAGATTGCTCTTGGCACAAGACTGATACGCTTGCTTGGTTGTTCTAGGCACAGCTACTGTACATCAAGAGTTAACAAAAAGGTATTTTAAAATGCTAACCACATAGGACAGCTCTGGAACTTTAATAAATCTGTTTCTTATTAATATGGGTGTATGTATTTGTATGTACTTCAGGTACAAGGGGAAGGGAAACGAGCCCTCCATGTTATCCTAGAAGTCCCAGAGTCTTTCTCTCCAACTTTGATACTGAGACCTGGTCTTCAGCATGGTTTCCAACGACATGCAGGACAACTAACAGCAACACCCAAACCAAAAGGAGGAAAAAAAAATAAAAATAAAAGAAGATTAAAAAGTTGGTAACTAAAACCAGCAGATGATATTAAAAATGCAGGGCTGGGTGCAGACCCAACCTGTCATTAAAAAATGTCTGACAAAAAGAAGTCACTGCACAAACCCCAGAAGATGCTAAGCAAATTCCCATTCGGTAGCAAGCAAAACATGACAGTTCCATAAAAATGCACGCTGTCCCTTATTTAAAAAAATATGAACAAGAAACAAACAGAAATTAAACATTTGCTCAAACTACAACCGCTCTGTAGGCAAAATATTTTTTTTTTAAAGATGGCTTTTTCATTTTCATTTTTTTAAACTTCTTTTTAAACTACCTAATTACGTGTGAGAATGATTTCTAAAAAAAAAAACAACCCACGGTGTTGGTATATTTTCTTTCTCATAGCATTTAACAACACTCCTGAAATCCAGCATTCACACATGCATACTTAGATTTTGTATTTTCCTCTGGAAACAGCTAGCCTTAAGTTACTGGGCTTTTGTTTTCTCTTCTTTATCCAGAACATGGAGGCAGAGAAGGGGGGGGGTCCACGCTGTGTCTGTCTGCCACATGAATCCCCCTCCCTTCCCCCAAAAGTCAGTTCTTTCTTAAATTCTCCTCTTGTCGATACCCGTTTTGTATTTTTGTGTTTTAAGACTGTCCGAAGGGATAAGGACCGTGGAAACCCTGAAAGAAAGTTGGAGACATAATCAATTTCAATAGGCAAGAAATAAAATCCATCAGCGTACACCTACAAATATGACCATCCCATCCCAGTACTTCTAAACCAAATGCAACCCTTTACCCACCAACATGACCTTTGCTGTCCAGCCTTACGAAACACTCCTAAAACGCAGGTTTCAGTGCTTTTACCTGGTTTCCCTAGAGATGTCAGATGCTATCCACTTACCTCTTTCAGGTGTTATTTAGCCAGGTGTTACTGGGCCACAAAGTAACTTGTATTTTCTAGACCAGAACAAAAAACCCCTATAGATGCTACAGTACCTGGAGGTCAAGCAACTGCAGTTTCACAAGTCTAGTCTAAAGATTATAGCAAACAGTTAAATAAGAGGCTGTAACTGGTAGAAGAGTCTATTTAAGAAAAAAATCAAGATCTGGAAATCCACGTTCCCACAACCGCCACTTTTGCTCTCTTGAGATAACAATATATATTTTCCTCAAGTGAAAATCAACCACAGCATTTAACCAAAAAAATCAAAACGCTTACTACAGAATCCATTTTCCCTCCTTTACATCCTGAAGTGAGTCACCTAAATGACAGATCTAGTAACAGGTCTCAAATTAACAGGAACTCCTTTCTGTAATTTCTATTGTTCAAATCAGCTATCCAGGGTTTCATCAGGAAGTAAAAGAAAGCGACCAACAGGCAAGAGATCTCCCAAGTCACAGGGACACAAAGTTTGTCATAACGATGAAGGTACAAACCACACACAAAATCCTCCTGTAAGATCCAGGCACATACTCAAGTCAGAAGTGTGACGAAGGAGAAAAGCTCATCATATTTCATTGTCAAAGTTGGAAGACCATTATGAAAATGTTTTAACACAGTCCAGCTTCTTTCCAGCATGCTGATGAGTAAGACAGCTGACAGCCCAATTAGCATAAAACCATTTTCAGTCTTTAAGTGAAGCTGTTACTTCAGTTTTCACCATTTTGCCTTTAACAGGGCAAATCTCAAAGGAAACATCGTTTCCTGCATGTTCTCCTACAACTCTACAACAACCTCGCTGCATGAGCCACAGAGCCATGGAGCAATGAGCCTTTAACATGACTCCTGTAAAGAAAGCATCAACTTCATTAGCTTAAGCCCAGTTGCAAAAACCCAAGTTCAAAAGCTCTCTTGTATATCTATGTTATAAAGGAAGTGCTACAAGAAGCCTGTAATCTCACTACAGCTGGTGAGAAAAAGTTAATTCTTTAGGACATATCAGGTGGCAAAATACAAGACAACGGTAGAATGAAGCATCTATCAGCAGCTCTTAAAATTCAATCAAGAGAGGAGGAGTAGCAGACAATTAAACAGGACATCTCAAACTGCATGGGAAGTATGGAAGACCGGAAACTTGGAAATGGCTGTTTGCAGGCAGAAATACATGCAAGTGATGGAAAAGCAAACACGCTTCTACCCTGGGAATATGCTGCACTCCCAGTTTGTAAAGCAAGCTTTTCAAAGGATAACACCCAGCAGATTCCAGCACAACAGTTCGCCTCAGAAAGGAGAAACTCCCACCAAAACCAAGAGACTGAGACATTCAACATTTCTGAAAAATACAGTCACTGAAACAAGGGGAAGGAGAGGAGCAGAAGAGAAACATTAAAATAACGTGAATACACGCACAAAAAAAACCCCAAAGGACACAGAAGGAAAACAATGTTATAAGCAAGATCCTAAACAGTCTCACCTCAAAGGGGTTAAGCTATTGTACTTATTGCTCTACAGAAGAAAAACAGGATTTGTTGCCGATTACCTGCATGGACACATGTGCCAGAATTTGCTTCATCTTTTAGTTACCTGCACAGAAGGCTTTGTTTGCAGGTACTGACTGGCAAGCACTCACAAGCCTCACGAGAGTGGTTTAAACACCAACTGCTCCCAGCCGCCCGTTCCCTCCGCCGAGGGCTACCGACTGCACAGCAGGGCTGGCTCTGTCCCCTTTGTATCTTTTACTGTTTATGTCACAGGCAAAACCTTGTTGATTTAATTTGTGCATGCCGTAAGCCAAGACATCTGCATCACCCCATGACATAAAACAATTAACACAGTTAATCAGTACACAGCCCAGTCTTCAGCTCAAGTCAGACCTGAGAACAGTTCATTAGTCTTTTTGTATGCAGAGAGAGACCCCGTGAAAAGGCTGTTAACCTTGTTTGCTGTTAACCTTGTTTGCTGTTAACCTTGTTTTCAGGGAAACTCTCTGGATCTCCAGACACTGTTTTCTGTAGCATCTAATTTAAAGCTACAGAATTTAGCTCACCTTCAGAGCGTCAGATTTCTCAGTACGTACAGCTTTGTACTCCTTGCTACACCACGCTTAACAAGCTAACATCCCTAGATGAGCTGCTCTCACAAGCAATTCCAAGAAGAGTCCCAGAATCTGTGACCAAGATTAGCTTCTCCTGACGCATTGAATTTCACCAAGAAAAAGCCCAGTCTTTGCTTTTGGGATTGCCGCTCTTCACTGCATTTCACTTACCCGTGAGATTTACTAGTGTACACCAGAACTTAGAAATTAAAACACACTTGTTTCTTTTCTTTAAGATCAAGTGTAGACTTGGTTTAACACCAGATCCTGAGCAAGAAACTCTCACTCCCCTTTGTGAAATGAGAATACTTTCTTTCTTCTTCCTCAGCAAGATGCAAGCTCTCTGCAGAGCAATCGTTTCTCATTACATTTATTCAACATGCACAGTGTAATAGCATCTTGATACCTGAAAACTTCAGTTACTGCTGCAACGCAAATACCAAACTCCATTATATGACATTTTCAAGAATAATTATCCCTTGTATGCAATATTTTACATCATAAACACGCAAAAATAATTCTGCATACAACTGCAGTTTTTCTGAGTTACTCCAACTGAAGAATTATTCACGCTATTTTTGGTGAATTCCCTTCTGTTCTCAAAGTGAAAACACTGTCTTTATGAAAAGCTCAGCTGCAGCTTTGCAAATCTACTTTCAGTTCTTCCAGCATCTTCCACAGAAGTAATTGCTAACTTGCTAGTGAAAGCATACTGGCTATTCATACAGAGAAGTATGTGAGAACAGAGGACCACGTTTTTTCAAGAAAAGACTCTACATGAAAATTATTGGTGTAAGTTATCATTTGACTTCTGTATCTAGAAGGGAATTGCGACGTATTGGAAAGTTAAAGGCCTCTGGAAATAGCGAGCTCTTTAAATGAAGGCACCTGTGCTAGAAATAAAACAAAGATTAAGTTAATCTTTCATAAACCATCACAACACAGGCTTTCAAATAGCTATCTTTATTTCACCTTTGTGACTGAGTCAAGATCAATAAAAGGTACACTTCAAGAGAGACAGGAGTTTCTGATGCACAGCTGCAAAGCAATACAGGAGTCTCCCAGTGTACACTGACAGTAGCATCAGACAACACTACAAGTCCCCGTTTCCTCGTCACCTCCTGGGCTGCTCCTAGTCAGTGCTTCTCCAAACTACGCAGAGTTCTCTCGACTAACTTACGTAAACTGAACACAAACAGAAGAACAAAGTATTGAGCAGTTTTTTTTTTTTTAATTCCATGCATGCTGTGCAAACATGGCATAGCAGTTAAGACCACCAGGAAGTTAAGAACCTTCTCACTGCGCAGCCACTCGTAGGGCTGGTTTAGATGCACATAGCTGATGAAGTACATGAGGGCTCAGGTACGTGATTAAGTTACCATGCAACAACTTAGCTCTTGTAACTTAATCAATGGCGTGCTTTTAGTCTGCAGAGATAAAAGAACAGTGAAACTCTCTTGGCCTGCAATGGAGCAAAGTTAAGCTAAAATCAGATTATCTCACATTTCCCACAGTCCAAAAGCACACGGACTGGCGGTTTTTATGGATGAGCTAACATGCAGCATCCAAACAACATTAGTCTTTCACTAGGTAAGCAAACCAGCTCATGCAACATCGGTTTAGCCTGCAGATGCTATGCAGCAGTGTGGCTGTCAATGAGTAGCTATGGTAGTTTTGAGTCCAACACTCTCCCACTTTGTTATCAATGAATTTAACTGTGTGGTAACTTGCCCCGTTTGAAGCCCAAATACCAGGATGGAAGGAGCTTATCTTCTACATGGATGCTAACATTTCTGGGGCATCGTCCATACCCACAAATATAGTTTGGTACCCAAATAGTTCCCAGTGAAAAAATTTCTGTCTAAAGTTTACAGAGGTACTCCAAAAATATGCAAATTGGATTGCCCTGGTTTGGAAGAAGCACGCATCTAGAAGCAGCAGTAACTTTTAAATTCAGATAGGGGAAGCCAGTTACACGCTCTAAGGATCGAGAGGGGTTTGGTTTCCTCATACGTATAGAAAGCTGTCAAGTAGCATGGATCAGAGTTCAGCTCCGCACAGAATGATCTAAGACCGGGAGCATAAATACAGCAGGAAAAAAGGTGTTAAGATTTAAATTTTGTGAACTCCAAATATGCTTATATTTCACTGGGATTTTAAGAGTAGTATGAACTTTTAAGAGTAGCATGAGTAAGGAACGGAACAGATTAACACCAGACAAGCTGTAGAACACACTTTGCTATGGCGGTGACTATGCAAATTGTTCTGTACGGGCAAATCTTTGCAGAATCAGAACTTCTACATGCAGTTTCCTGCATTACACAGAAAGCAGCAACTCCGCAATTCACATGGGCAACAGATTTAGAGATACATATATTTTTATATATAAGTGACAAGTACAATCTGAATGTCAGTATATGGCTATCCACTTCAGATCTTTTTAGACATTTAAACCTGTACGTTTCTTTCCTTAGTTAAGAAATTTAACTCTCATTCCCCAGGCACTGTAAGACCGCATCTTGCGCTTTTAATGTAAAAGACTGTCACAAGAGAGCAGCAGTGACCTCGACAGTGTTGCTATGAGACAGAAGCGAGTAAATAGAAGGAAGCTATATTAGCCTCATCTCTCTCGAGAATACAGAGAGAACGCGATTGCCAAAGAGAATAAAATACCCATGCATGGGTATATCTGGACTCTAATACAGCTCATCCCTATCCTGAGATAAGCATCCTATCCTGCACTTAAGTACATCTTTAACTCTAAGAACATGCAAAAACTCCACTGGGAATAGATAGAACAACAACATGCTTAAAGCAATGCCCTGAACACAGACCCTGATCTACAACCTTCCAGCAGTTTATTTGATAAGGTAAGCAGGGTGGACCCAGGGAAGGTGTACATTACAGCAGGAATAAAGATCATACTCAATTTGTTTTAACCACATCATAGCTTTCATCTTATCTGCTTACAGGGAATTCAGTATCTTGTTTTGTTTGCTTTGTTTTCTTCCTAGGAAAGTTTGTTTCATTGAGCAGAGCATCCAAACCATGCACTCTATGATGCTGTATAAAAGCATTTTGAGTTTTTCCATGTATGAAACATTGATATACTTGTCTAATCCAGCAGCAGATGGCATGTCAGTGTCACTAAGACCCTGACTCCAATGGGAAATTTTAGAGGACAAGCCACACCTGCTCAGTTGCACCAGAGGGAGAACGAAGACAGACAAGGTCTGGCAACTTCTAGTATGTTTTACAGCTGCAGATGCCAGAAACTACTAGTTCTATCTCAAAGATTTCATGGGCTCATGCAATTGCCTGACTGGGGTTTCTGCAATCTCTTGGCAGAGAGGAAGCCTCCATAGTAATCTGAGAAATATTTAAGGGCTTGTATTGCTTCTAAATACGGGACGTAGGCCCTTCTAAACACCTTAACTAAACCTCACCCGTCCCCTTTGCTCTATCTCACCAAATGGCGCGTCAAACATGACTAGGGATTCACCCCATTCTCCAGCTACACGAAAGCAGACAAAAATATTAGAGGTCCTGCCCAAGATGAATAAAATCCAGGAATTCTAATGCGCAGCTGTGTAACCAACCCACAGTACCCTCTTGTTTGCTCCTAGAACTTGAAATAAAGCCTTTCACATCAATATTTAATCACAAGACAACAGCTCCAAACGTAGTAGTTTTCTTTCCCCCCTTTAAGCAGCAGAGTACAGGTCAAGTCCCCAGGGAAGTGGGGAACATGGGCCAGATACAGCTTTTCCTAACAGGTACCGGAACATCATCTGCTGATCAGGTGTGGTTTAATATTTCTGGCACCACCTCCAATATGCCCCTTTCCTTTTCCAGCTGGGGATACTGGTTACACATTATCCTTTTTTAGGAAAAAAAAAAAGTATCTTCTTATCCAGATTGCAGGAAAAAGGCATGTAATAGTGCTAGACGTAAACCAGGGAAGAAGGTGAGCATGTTCACCTTGCGATTTTAAACAAGACCAAGTATCTAGGATGTCAAATCTACGCAAACTTGTTCACTGCAGAAACAGTGTTGTACCAATATGAATATTAAGTCTGTGGCAGAATGCCTCCTGCCTTGGACGGGAAGGGCAAGGCTGGAACAGGACTCTGATCTTCAGACCTACCTTAATAACGGCCTCCAAAGGAAAAGCTAACTTGTTTTATCATGTCACAAATAGAAACACTGTAGTAGAGACAAAACCCCCTCAAAAATCAATGAACTTTCACATACCCCACCCCATCTCCGAAAAGGAGCATAAAGTTATCCCTTCTGAAGTAAGAAAGAAACAAAATTTCTGCTTTTATCTCAGATAATTCACCTCAAATCCACCCAAGAATATTCTGTAAATATAAAAAGAAACAAAACACCCCCAAACAAAACAAGAACAAAAAAAAGGGAGAAAGGCCACCTACCCTACATCTGAGGATAGATTACAATGGCTCACGCCTCGTAAGAGTACTGATTGTGAACTTTGGGTTACTAGCTAAACCAGCATACTTGAATTTAGTGAAATCTCTGGTAGTGCTTCACTCTCCTTTTTGGCTTTTCTTTTCTACAGTATAGCTGACCTGTGCTACATCCTCTGCACCTCCAATAGGTAGTGGTTTCTTACACCGACATTCTTAGAAAAGACAAAGCAGCTACTCCTCAGCCAAGAGAGTCTGTTGGTACGCTTTACCTCCTGGTGCCCACACCACTCTCCTCTCACTAGGAACGGTAATGATATATACCACAGGGAGAGACCTAGTGAAAACTGAAGGCCATGTTACTGCCAAGACCTCACATCCAGAAATTCTACGCAGGAACTTTCTCAGAAGTGCATATATTAACAGTTCCACATCTATCCACCTGCAAGTGCAGACCAACTAGGAAGCAATTGCCAAACTCTGCACCCAAGAAAATAGGCAAGGGAAAAAAAAAAAGCTACCTCCAGCCTAAAGTTGACCACTAAAAGTGGAACTGAGTTTTCCCCTCTAAATTAAACCTAGTATTTTAGCTATGAAAGGCTTAGGTAAGTCCCTATCTCACCAAAACTGTACTTAATAACTGATTTTTATTTTTCATCAACTGATAGATAGAGCTGTTACCAATCTTTGCTGGAATATGTACAACAGACAGCTGCAGAGCAGTATTCCCCACCTGAAGCACCCGAGGTGAAGTTTATGCAGAAAAGCTCTATCAGTGTACAGACGGCCTCTGCAGTCAGACAATGGCCCGTCTCTTCAGGGAACACCGCTGTCCACCAAGCAACCACTAAAAGGCAGCAACTTTCAGTCACTGCTAACTCAGGTTGTATTTGAACTGATAGGTGAAAGGCTTTATTTTTGAATCATTTCCTAAGCCATCTATTTAACTTTTAGCGAGTGAGAATCTTGAAGCAGGAGCCAATACAGCTTACAGCAATTTATGTTTGGGGTGCAAAACACACAAAAAGGGTGATCGGTAGTCTGTCAAACAGTTAATCCCACGCATGCCATCAGTAAAAAAAAAAAATAAATAAATGCATAGCCCTGGCGCAAAGTAGGTCACTAAAATATGATCCACTGGTAGAGGACAGGCAGTTCATCCAGTTAGGAACTAAAGTGCTGTAGGTGAACTAACATTAGGGCTTTATTAAGTCATTCAGCAACCAAGTGTTATTGTCCTACACAGCCTGCTTAAGTACAGTAAAGCATTTTTAAAGGATTTTAAAAATCAAACTAGTTTGACATACGACAGTACACACCTACACATATTGGCTGCATTAACAGGTGGATTCTGAATTGTCAATAATCCTGCAATTCATTTTTCACACACAAGCAAATAAAAACAGTCAAAATATCACTCAGACTCATATAGCATCCACCAAGCAAGCTTTTGAGAGAGATTTAAAATAAAGATAATTTAAAAGTCACCTACAATTATAAACAAGACAAGGACACAGACAGGAACTGTCCTTCTAATGACTGTTCCTGACAGGTAGCTTCTGGGAACAAAATGGTGAGCTCTGTAGTCTCCCCACACCAGTTAAAAAGAAGTTATCCGGTTAACCTCAGGTTTTGGGGGTGTTGTTATTTCTTCTCTTTTCAAAATGATGTAAAACTCAGGAGCACATCTAGAGAGATATTTTGACTTATTTGCACACGCAACTGGAGCGGGCTCCAGCCACTAATAGTTACAGCACCCAGACAAGATTATATAAATTTTAAGAAGGACTTGAAGCAAAACCAAAAAGGTGGATCTGGTAGAGTCTATCAGAGGCAAAAATATTTTAATATAACATGAGGAGTTGGCAGAGTCAGACAGTCAAATTCAAAACCTTCCTTAGCAGGTCTGGCAGAAGCAGAAGGGAAGGGCTTTGCAGTTTGTAACGAAGAACTATTACATACATCACAGTCTCATCACCTACCCATTCTCCTGTTCTCCCAGGGCACCTACCTTACTGTATGTCACTACTGACAAGTTGTTCGAGTGACTGCTGGGGGAGAGATTTACAGAGTTTTGTGACAGTCCATTCTGATCTTGTTCGATTTGGTCAGGAGCAGGCCCCCATGTGTTTTTGCTGATTGTGCCTAGCTCGGAACCCCCAGGGTCTTTTAGGTTGTTTTCATCTGGTTGCCTGTTCTTCTGTGGAGAGGCGAATGGGTTAAAGTTTCCTTCTACCTTGCGATGCGGTTGTGTGTTGAACTCTGTTTCAAAGGATGACAGCTGCTGTGTTACACCTAGAAGTCCTCCAACCTCCACGCTGAGGATCACCCAGATGACATCTGTGGAAAAAGACAGACACTTGGGTTGTCACTAGGTGGAGTTTACGAAGGAGGAGGCAGAAGGAGAAAAACAGCACATGAATTCCACACTTTACAATAGCAAGAAAAAAGATTGTTTAAAATACCGTTTTATGAACTGTCAGAAGTACTGGTTAAACACTAGTTTAGTCTCCAAGCTTTCAAGAAAACCAGGCAAGTTTTACTCATACCTAACTTAACATGAACCAGCTAAAAACATATAAAAAAACCAAACTGACATGACAACTTGAAGCTCCATACTTCAGATTATGAATAGGATGCACTGAAAAAAGAAAACCTTAAGTGACTTTATCAAAGGCAACACAGCAAGACTGAAATGAGAGGCAGGAGATATCACTGCCAGTCTTCTACTCTAATGGTAAAGTAAAGGCAATGTTTTTTGTTTAGCTTTGAAAGGCTTGACTATTAAAATAAAACAACAAAAGGGTGACTTAGAAGGCAATTACATTTATGACAGTTCACTGCAAAATATCTCCCATTCCAGTTCCAAAACACTCACAGTAGGTGGATAAGATACCCAGGCTTGGTAGACTATGACACAAATTCGCAAACTACTGGTTAGAGTAAGAAACATATTTACAGTTCTTACCTAATGCATGTCCATCTCTTGTACATAGATAAGACCGTTATTCTACTTACCATGTCATTTACACTTCAAGCAAACATTATGGCCTATTTACATAAATACATTTCTTGGCATGTATCCAAATTCAGTTTTATTGCTTCCACCCCCCCCTTCCATTAAACGTACTCCAGTTTTGTTTTGCTGCAGAGAGGGAGAACTGAAAAGAACAGCAGCAACACCTTCTCTCATCTCAGCAGATCTAATAACAGCACCTCGTGTCACATGTAATTGTTTCCAGGTTTTCTGCAGTCAAGAGTTAATCTACAAGGGGCTCTTTTGTGCTGCCACTGGTGGCCTGGGGGAGGAGAGAGCAGGTACTTTCGCTGTTCGGTTTTTACTACCAGCGTTTCTCATGCAGCATTAATTCACTGAAGCTCTCCTGCCAGTCCCTCCCCAGCTTTAACAGGGCTGGGCTCATTAGCTCGCATTTTACGACCCAATTAAAGGCAGTGGGATTGTACCGTACAAACATATGACTTGCTCAAGGACCCCCAGCACCCCCCGTCCCTCATAACCACCACCAAGCTCCACAA